TACTGACCTTTACCCCACACACTTGGTTGTATTCTTCCAATGTAGATATGGTAATACAGAACACAATATACTGACCTTTACCCCACACACTTGGTTGTATTCTTCCAATGTAGATGTGGTAATACAGAACACAATATACTGACCTTTACCCCACACACTTGGTTGTATTCTTCCAATGTAGATGTGGTAATACAGAACACAATATACTGACCTTTTCCCCACACACACTTGGTTGCATTCTTCCAATGTGTTGAAGGTATTTCCTGTTTTATCACAACCTCCGTAAATGAAAGGCTTGCATTCAGCTGTCTGAGCGTCGTAGAAAAACATATGCATTGCTGGCGTGCAAAGAAGCTCGCCCACTGTTGGTGGTTTGTAACAAAAATCTGGACGTTCTGGTTCTGTGCAGATCATAAATTTGACTAATTGTTTTATAAACCATAACATAAAAATGACGTAATATAGAACACAAAATAAAATTTTTCACTTTGAAAATTGTGAAGCTTAACTAGAGTACCGCTTCTTATGCATAAGTCTCAGTGTTCAAAAAACAAGAAATTACGTAAAAGTTTGTCCTACTTGCTGCAAGTATTTACCCAAAATTCTGTCCGCTGTTTGAAGTTTATTTAATGTATAATTGGATATTATTAACCTCGTCTATAGCATAGCTTTATAAAGATACTTAACTATACTTTAGATTTATCATACCCGTCGTTATCTCTTCTCTCAGTTAGCGTGGAAAGTAGTTGTGCATATGTATGTATATATAGGCACGAAAATAGTGTGAATACATTAAGAGATAATTCACTGTTATCAACATACTTATAGACATATTTAAGTGTAAAGTATGGGAAGTAATTTACTGTGCAAAGTACAATCCAATTAAAAATTTACACTTGAAATATACGTTATCGGAGTTTTAGTATACAAGAACGTAGACATGTAGCTCAGCAACAACAACAAAATGCGACGGAAATATAGAAGAAAATAAAGAGAAAGTTCCTAAGCATGTGGCATCGATTAGGACATTTAATTTTTAACCTTGTACACTCTAATCAAGTTCAATATTTTTGTCTCGATTATTTCAATTATTATAGCTTCAGTAACTTTCATTTATATAGAGAGGTTGTGTGCATTATATTAAAACTATTTTGAAGCCTCACTACGTCGTTACAGTCCATGTTGCCACGTCTAGGTCATAATCTATCTGACGACTGTGCATATAGATAATAGTCCTGCTGCATAGTTTTTTACTGCAATATGTCCCATCATCAGTCTTGTCATGGGTTGTTATATACCTTTCCCAAACGTAATCAATTTTCGGTGGCATCAGATTAAGTACAAAAGCAAACAATGTCAAAATGTAGTCCTCATACATGCCTTTATATAGGCTGTGATTGTCACGTGACTTACTGACTTGTATATTCAAAATCGTTTTAATATAACGTACTCGACCATTGTAGTTGTCTTATGTGCTTAAAGAAAGGCTTTTCGATATGAAAGTATTTCCAACTATCAACTAAACGTTTATTAATAATGGGCATCTATTTTATGTCTACAATCTGTGCTCATTAGGTTTATGCTTAAAATTTTGTCTTATCCAGTCAGTACACAACTATAAGTTTTATATGTTCTGGTAAAAATTAAAACGTTAGAAACTAAACCTAAACTATGGAAAACAAGAAAATTGAACTTTAAGCATCATTTTATATTCACGTTTGTTTTTTATTTCAACCACCAATAAATTAATCATTGTATTTTTATATACACCACCTAAGATAAAAAAGTTTAAAGTAAAACCTCATAAATAAAACTTCGATGAATCCTAACAATTTCGACAGGATTTATTTTGGATGTGATTTTAGATTTATAAATATTTGTACATCTCAAAAGAATAAAATCACATTAAAACACAGGTTTTCAAAACCTTTATTAGTAATCTAAGGATTTTTGACCTAATTATATCACTGCTTACCATATTATTATTGTTTGAATCCTAAAGTATTAATTATACATTGATATGTTGCAGAGGTAAATCCTGAAGCAATCACAAAAAGTAAGTTACAATTATCATTCATTTGTACACACATAAACTTAGCATTAGTATATCTTTTTATCCTTAGTTAATTGCTAAGAATGTCTCACATTTCCTGGAAACTGCTTATTACACACACAGTCATGTATTTAATTTCAGATATTCACATTATAGTTCACTAAACAGTTTATCATATACAAGTCTCCAATATGACATTATCTGTAACATATATCATTGAAACAAACAAAATATTCTATATAAATCACACACAAAAAAGAGACACTGCAGAAATTGACAAGGTATCCTACACAAAAAGGAACCTCACAAGATTTAACATAGAATTTTAAAGAAAAACACACGAAAAAGAAACATAAGGGTATCTATCCTTTAAAAAAAAAGACAACATAAAGCCTGATAAATACTCGCAAGGTAGCCTACAAAGAACATTAAACATTCAAACACTATGTCTTACAAAAGATCAAACATAAAAATATGATAAAGATTAGCTAGTTATGTTAATAATAATCACACAAAAATGAACCGTGTAAGAATTAACAAGACAAAACTACCCACAAAAAAAACCTTACAAAGGTATCATAGAGGGGAACCACCCAGAAAAAGGCAAGAGGCTTTCGAAATTTCATAAAGTACGTTAGAAAGGTTTTGATTTATGTGTGTGTATATATATTTTGCTGTTGTTTTTTTTTTGAGGCAAATCAATTTGGTGGAAGTTCTCAAATATTTAGTGTATTTATTATTTTTATTATACTCAAGTTTATATCTACCGATGGCGTTTGACACTTTTATCATTACAATTTTAAAGCCAAAACTAAAGTGGTCTGATAGAGGTATTGATAAGTTTAGGATCCCAATATGTACAGAGAAAAATTACTGGAAAAGACACTAAGCAGTAATTAAGATTAGGGTTCATTATTTGAAATAAAAATGTAAGATTATTCTGGACAATTCTAAAAGAACAGTCACCTGGACATTTCCATTCTACAGGGCAACATTCTTCGTCAGAGTATACAGATGAACAACCTGGATATTGTTGCCGATAATAACCCCAAGGGCAGTCTATTATAGCACAATCTCGAGAACTAGGCTCCTTAAATCCTTTCTTGCAGTGACAAACAAAACAGTGTTTTCGAGTAGGAAGTTCTTCACCTTCTTGGTACCATTTGCCATTATATTTACACAATCCTGAAATAAAGAACACTTGTATTTACAAAGTCCTGAAATAAAGAACATTTGTATTTACATAGATAGAAACTGAAATTTATGCATAGCATAAACAACAGAAGATATCAAATAGTAAACAATATTACCCTCCAAGAAAGTTTGTACCCGCCAGACTTATTATTACATCCATTTTCCTGACTGTATAACAATAAAAATTACATTTGAGAGGACATGCACGCCAGTTATTATTACATTACATTAATTACGAATATTTCAAAGTTTAGTACTCTATGGCAGAAAGTGTTATATTTGTGTTTTGGTTTTCTTGGCGCAAAGCAATATGTTTGGCTGAGGAGTTCGCAAATATCACAGGCCTGCGATGGTTTTATTATCTTGAAATTTTTACATGTTCTACGGTAATTCCTGTACGCTGAATCCGAAAATTATATCCAGTTTTCTCCATCAGGTACAGATTTTTCACAAAACGTCATAACGCAATACATAAAAGAAATATCACAACACGTACTTTTGAGACTAAAAGACGTAGATTTCACCAAAAAAATCAGGACGAATGAGGATGCATATTCGTTCTTCTATTTTTTTTCTGTTTGTTTGTATTTTTGTTAACAAATATAATAATAAAAAAAAATTTCATTGTGGTAAACAAAATAATAATTTGATCTAAGTAAGAGTTTTTTTATTCCCGATTTGTAAAATATCCTTACGTGATAGAAAAAAAAGAATATTATTTTCGAAATCTGCATAGCTGAATCAGGTAAAATCTGTTATTAAAACCGAAAACAACTTTTATGAAGTTTAAATTCGTAGGCTTGTGTATTTAGGGCATTTTTTATAGATATTATACTCAAATTCATAAAACAATCTTTGTTTGTTTGTAATTAAGCACAAAGCTACACAATGGGCTATCTGTGCTCTGCCCACCACGGGTATCGAAACCCGGATTCTTGCTTTGTAAGTCCGCAGACATACCGCTGTGCCACTGGGGGGGGGGGCAATCTTTTCTCTCTTCATCCAACTAAAAACAAGTTTTTGCTTAAGTAAACTACTGGAGTTCAATGTATTTGCAAATTTTAAATACCTTCTTCGTTTGCTTCTTCGCCTTCTTTTACTGGAGCTTCCCTTATTGAACCTGTGGTAACAAAAAAAGATAAATTGTGAATAGCATATAGGAAATAAGAACAACTTTTGTGGTCTTTATTCATTTTATTCGTGTGTTTGTTTTGTTGTTTTTTTGATAAAATAATATCGTTTCCAATAGCAAAAGTAACGAGCAAAAATAGATTAAACTTTGTTTTATTCTTTGCTGTTTTATAAGGAAACAAGCTCATTTTCTTCTTCCTCAAAAAAAGAAAAAAATACGCATGAAAATTTAACTCACAGAAGTTGCAAATATATCTTTATTTATTAAATTACCACAAAGATGAAAGAAATGACGTCGCTTTTATTTTCATACTAGAGACATTTTATGGAAAATGAAAGAAACTTATACAGAGTTTGGGTTTTATTCTATAGGAAAATAAATAAACCATGGACGATAAAATTCATTAGTTCGGAGATATTAGCTGCAAACAAATATAATAATATTCTTACAAAATGCTACGAAAAAATATTACCTTTAACCAAATTCATTATAGCATTAAATTTTGACGGTAAAAGTTTTTTTTTTCTATTTGCAAGAGAAGTATTTTGTGGTTGTACTTTTTTTCTATCTATTACCAACTATGTTCAGTACTGAATTGAACAGAAGGCTATTTCTTTCGGTTCGGACAGGTGAACTAAATGATCCACGGATGACGTTTTACACTGTTATTATTACAACTTAAAAACAAACACTAAAGTGTTCTGATAGAGAGATTAATGAGTTTGGGATCCCAAAATGATTGGGAAAGAGACTTAGCAGTAATTTTGTTGTGAGTAGCATCTAGGAAAGGAAAGTTTAAGAAGCAAGGGTTAATTATTAGAAACAGAAAGGTAGGATTAGTCTGGGTGTCTTGGAAACTAAATGTCCAATCAACTCTATTTTTATGAATTGGTATTTGCTGATAACTATTTTGGTTTTCTAAAACTTTATTATGTACGAAAAGTAGTAACTTCTAAGCTGAAATAGGCAGGAGTGGAAGTAATCTACCTACGTAAAATAACATTCTATAACAATTTTTTTCTTTAATGGAAAGCCTCACATCACAGTACACTTATTTGTCTAGCATGCAGATTTGTTTCAGTTGTTCACGATTCTCGGATGGTAACTACAGCAATTTGTTGCTTAGATTTGATTTTATTAGACTTAATAACTTACAGGTCTGTGTACGCAGAATGTTTTAAAGAGGGGTTCTAATTTGTGAGATTAAAAGCCAATACATATTGTGCGAAACACAATCAGCATGCTAATACTACAGGGGTCTAGGGGCATGCTCTCCCCCCCTCCCAGAAAATTAAAAAAATAGGTGCTATGAGATTAAACCTGGAAGCAATTTTGCATGAATTATAGCTTAAACAACTGCATGGCTGATTACATAAAATCCACAAACATCCAATGAAAAGTCAACAAATCATCATTCTGTTGTAACACTGCATGGGGAACTAGACTTCACTTAGCATAAATATGTAAGTTTTATTATAGTAAAGAACTGTACTATCTACATGCAGAGCAGTTAGTAATTGTTAAGTTATAGTACTAACTTAAACATCTGTACATCAATAGTATATTAGATATTTCAATCATTGGCTATCGTATACGTACATGTATGAACTAATGAAATAACATGTTAGCATGCTCCATTCTTCTGAGATGCTTTTCCACAAATAACTTACATACAGTTTCAATGTTGATAGCATTGTCATAATGATTATGTATTAAAGTTAGAGCACTCAGTCTTTCTTTGATTTCTGTACACCTCAGGTAATAATTCAACCGGCGGAGAGCAGATGCCGAACGTTAACATGAACTTGGTGACAATATTTTTTTACATTACAAAAACAGGGGGTTCGACCGAACCCCTCGTCCCCCCCCCCTACGTGCGTGCGTGACTAAAATGTTATTACTGTTTCAAGACACACATTCAGCAGTCTCTTGCTGAAGTGTTTTAAAAACAACTTAGACTTATTAAGATACTCTTTTGAAGTCTCACTTAATCGCAAAAGTGTTGGGTATTTTTCGTTACTATTTTTTCTTCTTCCTCTTCTCGAATTCAGTTGAAGTTTAGCCAAACAATCCACTATCGCTAACAGGTTGTGGAAAATCAATTAAATCATAATTGGGTGTTAAAATATTTTATACTGAACTTTCCTTTCGCATATAAAACAAAATAGCCACAAAATACTAATTTCAATAAATCTTTAGCTACCTGTGCATAATCATCATTAATCTTAAAGTGATAAATTAGACGTAAGGCAGCTAATCAATAACTTTGTTTGTTTGTTATGAATTTAGCGCAAAGCTACACGAGGGCTATCTGCGCTAGCCGTCCCTAATTTAGCAATGTAAGACTAGAGGAGGGGCAGCTAGTCTT